GGGATTGGTCCAGCATCGTTATGGATATGGTCGCCATAAAAGGGGGCATGAGTCCATCTCACGCACACCCAAGTGACTCCAACGAGTCTCGTTCATGGTAATATTGTGCCACACTTTCAGGCTGCACAACTTATAATTTTAAATCATAGTTTGCCAGCACAAACCAACAGATATGTTGATCAGTCGTCCACTATTGATTGCTGTTTTACCGTGTCAAGCACATACGAAAAGTTTATGTGTATAATAAAACCGATAACATCACTGGTGGCAAAAAACGCTGGAGTTGAGTGTTAGGCAACCTGAGCGGCAAGTAGATCGGGTAATCCATGATGAGTCTGCTAAGCGATATATAACATCTGGTGCAGCCAGTCCCCGCTGAAACCTGTGCCGCAAGACCTTTCTTACGATTAGGAACACTAAACTAAAAAGGTTGCTTCCGCTAAAATAATCGTGCATAAAAGTGTTTCAGGTGGAAAGGTCCGAATCATACAGAAGTGGCCGTGTTAATATTCTATAATCGTCTGTTTGAAAAGACATTAGAGGCAACCTGTGGACATTCATCATGGGGTTAAGTTTCCAGTATCAAATTAAACATCATTGGTAGCGTCACGTCAATAGCAAACACTACGTGCTAACTTCTGTTCAGCCACGAGCTCCTCACACGATGGTCCATCTGCTCTATATTTTACGGTTATGTGAATGCTGATCTCCGTGTATGGCATCCACACTACAAGGGAGGATGGTTGTGATTCCAATCCTGATCATTTCGCTCAAAAATATGTTCACAGGGAAGCGTTGGTTGCCAAATTATTCCATCCATTAATAGGCAATTTACCATAACTTTTACCCCGAGCCGTGATTATCAAGCCTCCATCTGCGGGATGCAATATTAGTTCGTGCAATATAATTTCAGATTGTTAAAAGATGTGCGAATAGTCGCTACACAGTATGGTTAAGTATCCTTACGATAATGAGTTCAGATGATCACAAAGTAAGTCATTTTTTTCTAGTGTGCAAATAGTGTTCCTGTCATAATTTATACTCCTCCTATCCATGGTTTGTCAAACCATGACATCACAAAATAGGCTTGACACAAACGAGCAGAGGTGAACATTCCGATGCTCACTGTAACTCCACGTTATTCAGGGACTCGTTAATTGTTTCTAATGAGGTTCTGGTTCACGTCATATAGCCAAAAAGAATATTACCGTAAAGTTGACAAAGAATGGAAATCATTACCTAGAACGGAAATTATTAAACCGTTTATGACTTATTCATTAATCCATTGCGCGGATGGTTAGCAGAAGTACGATACCTGCCGAGGCTGGCTGCAACAGCTGAACCAACTTTCACTCGTCACACCTTATCAGTGGTCGTACGAATATGAAACTCTTCAGCAGTTTCGTCTTTCACCAGGATAAAACTGAATGACGACCTGGGCCAGGACGATAGATGAATGTAAATAATATTCTTTTCAGCGAAGATCGCTGGGGCCAAAAAATGGATAGATCAGCGGTAGGCTCGAGTCTTAGTTGTCTAACGTAGGGCTCTTTCACTTTATGTGACTTGGTCGGCATTTTTGCGGAAAACAAATAAGAATATTTCTCATCCGAACTAGGTACTCTGTGCTCTAGAATAGCATAGACCAACCCACTCATTTTCCGCTGCGCTGATTCTACGTGGGCCTTACTGCCAAACATTAAGCCAATAGCTTTCATTCGGCCACTGAATTGGTTATTCAGCTGTAAACAATGTCTCGAAGGAAATTGATGGAGTGACAGCCACACATTCAGGAAGCTGATGTAACCGCAGATGTAGCTGGCTCGAAATTGTGGTAACCACCAGCTAATATGTCAGTAGTGCCTGCAGACGACCATTCCGAGGTATATCTCTTCATTTTTCGACTATAATCTGAGCCTGGCGAACTTACGTAAGTCTACAGAGACTAGTGACAATAGTTTTCACTTTATTCATCTTTATCAAATTGCATTATGATGATCCCTCATGTAATTCAGTTGAAGAGGAAAATTTCCGATCACTGTTTGGTCTACAATTTGCCTAGAGCTCCTGCAGACCAGTTTATTGGACTCGTATTACTTGCGGGCGCTTACAGTTTCCAGATAAACACCCTACTGCAGGTTTCACAGTGTAAGTTAGCAATTCGCTGCTTTGACGTCGCTGAAAATGGAGGAAACAGACAGCTATCGTTTGGTTGACAACTTGGATAGTTTTGACTACTGATGCCTAACTGCGAGTACTCATCATAAAATCAGATTTCCCTCTGTTGAAACTCGGGAGGTCTCGCCACCCGATATTCCTAAGAGGATAGGATGCATCACTGAATTGAACTTGTGTTCTATAGTGCCTGAGGGACAACAGTGCAGAGCTCGTGGCCTGCACTTGCCTGACGTGCTCACAAACCTGAGGCAAAAATGATGCAAAATGATGCACGCGCCAGACGCAGATGTTCACGTGTTTACTGTTACCGTGTCCAATAACTTTACCGAAACACTGCTGAAATTTTCGCCAACTGTTTCTGAACACATTTTTCTAGTAGGAGTAAGAGAGACCTAGTTTCTCGTTCAAATTACGTTGGAACTAGGGATTTCAGATAATTTTGAATGAGAATTGCAACGCACGGGTTTCCGTGGTCGTTCCCCTAGCGCGGAAAAACACTGTATTCCTGTATATAGCTTCAGAGTATTGGGTGCCATTAGAGAAAGGCGCTTGGGTTACGTAACTTTAGAGACTTTCCAACGCCGTTTCTCCGCCATCTTGGTGGTGAGTCCAGTACTTATTGGCGGACAGTTCTAGAAAGCTGGCGCGCTATCGTATGGCGAACGATTTGCTTTCAAACTTTATAATAGAAAGATCCAGTTGAATTACTGGAAAAGTTCCTTAAGCCTGAACCATATATCAAAAACCCCTAATCTATATCTCTTAAGCTTATCCATTTTCTTGGTGAAAGGATAACTAAATGAATCAAACCTAGTTGGACGTTGTAGATTTCAAGTTTTTCGGCATAATAGGCCTGGTTTGCAAGTGTTTGTGTTTGCCATTCTAGAAGTAGGCCTTTGGTGGCAGCGATTGTACAGTAGTGAAAAGAACAACATTAGTGAACCTCTCGACGTATCAGGAGAGGTGGATTACGATTTACTTGTTTCTACCAATTCTGATGGTAGCCTGTGGTACTTAATAGCACTCACAAACCAAGCGGCTCCAGAGATTTGGGAGAGAATCTAATGTATCACAACACATTGCTTGAACAGCGACTAATGTGTCGTCCCATTCACACGTTTTGAAGTCAGTGTACGTTCATATGTAGACAATGAGATCGAAGCTACTGAAAATATAATAGTATTCTCTTCCTTGATGCAAACCAAAAGAGCAAAAAAATCCTCGTCTACTGTTTAGATGTCGCATATTCACGCTGAACACTCCCATTTTAATCTTGTCCTTACCTATCTATCATCGATCAATCTACGAGTCTGATGTTTTGTCTCAAATTGTGCATAAAAGTTTGGGAGACCACACGAAAATTTTTTGTTCACTGGTCACCGTCATATATTTTCTAAAAGCTTTTGTTTGGTGAACGGAAAATCATCAGGCCATTGTCTTATAGTTAACCGCTAAACAAGCTGATATATCAGGGATTGAACGTTTCCAGCGAATTTTCTACTCAGTTAATTTACCTGTCATTTAGTGTCACGTAGCAAAGGGTGTGATATTTTGATCGCTCCCCGTGTCTTGATCAAGATACGCTTTGATTAGTGCAAGTCCCGTGATTCAGGCTTCAAGGCGATTGCAACCCACTTGGTTGGAGTAAGGTTTCGTAGAAAAAACTAGTCGAAACAATCTATTGGAAGGTGATACTCGTGATTCGTTGCCTGCTCTAATTCTCAATTGCCAAATTTTCTGGATATTTATTTCCATATATTCTTTGTACCTGTTGAAAAATTCACCACTGGATGATTGCACCCCGCGAGCATCAAGCCACTATTAACCTGATTAGACAACACCAAAAAAGGGAAGTTTGGATATTAGGATGCATGCCTCTGTAGCGAATTGTGCACCATCTTATTACGGTGCCTGGTTAGTTGTTAAAAGTAATATTACAAGGCTTACGTTCTCATATTTTCATTCCAATGATATAAATTCAGAGTGCCAACGACATTGCACTTCTTTTACACATTCCAGTGACAGGTGATCAATCGCCGCTCTAGTGGCTAACCATTGTATACCAGCTACTTCTTCGTTCCTTCGCATTTTTCTGCTTACAAGTCCCCAGGGTTCTCTCACACTCACAGAGCTGATTTTTTGCCTTGACGCAGGTGAACTAATAAGGTAACAGTATAATGTACGCATAGACATTCCATCTCAAAAACAACGGTTTTTCGTGAGCATTTATGCAAATGCAGCTAAAACGTGGCTCTAATCAGGAGATACTTGATGCTGCTAGTGAGGCAACTTTGTGCTGAATAACCACTGCTGATCAGCCGCTGGTGGCCGAAGAGGAGGGGGTCAGCCACTGGCGGAGAGGTTGAGGGTTCAAGTGTCTCTGAGTTTCGTAAGATGCGCACTGCCGACTCAGCTGTAACGAGAATGCTTCTTGGTATCTCCTTTGACCACCACCAAAACTTTATGTTTCACAAATCTTGTGCATACGGGTGCCCACCGATGCTGAACTGACTACTTCATAAATCTTGTGCATAAACCTTGTGCCCACCGATGCTGAACTGACTACTTCAAAGTGTGCTGTTTTAGTGGAGTGCGGCGTAACCAAATGGGCCGGCAAGTGCCAATCATTGAAAACGTACAAGCTTGGAACGCTTACTGAACGATAAAATTAATGGCCCGATCGATGTGGACACCCTTACATATATTTATATGCACCATTCCTAAAATCTCAGGCGTAACTGAATGGAAAGCTTTCCACAATTGGATTGCCTAGTGCAGCTTATAATGAGTGTGATGATACAAGTACTATTTGCAAAACTCACTTGTGCGTACGACGTGTAGAAAAGCTTCTGTTTGTTCATGTATTCTCCTGGCAGCAAAGTATCCACCTGTGAATTTTCCTCCACATTTGTCCATTGTTCCAGGGCCTGCCAAGTGAGACCAGAGAGAAGAGCGTGCGTGCAATGCAAGTGGTACAAACATCAACGGTTTTGCTTTGCTTCCTCGGTAACCCAAACGAGTTCAAATTTCCTCTTCTTGTAGCCTCCAAAAGAACGGTAAACAATTTTAGCTACCTATGTTTATCAAGATTACTTGTGTCATTATTCCAGGAGCTAATCACAACGTCTACCGTTTGATTCCGAGTGCTTGCATGGCCCGTGTGACTATATCAAAATGAATTTGTTGCCACACAATTTGATATCCAGCAAATGTCGTACGTGTGAAGATGGTAAGGCGGCACTCTCCCTACTGATACACGTTTAGAACATGCACCTTACACCAGAAAAATGACCACGCAGCAGTGAGTCACTTCAAATTCGGTGTAACAAACTCACTAAGAGAAACGTTTGCTGCACACTCTCCAAGCGGTTTCCACACAAACGGGGAACCAAATGTTTAGTTGACGAAGAAAACCGTAAACGAGTGATCCAGCTCAATTTATTCAACTATCCCTTTGTTGTGCGAACGACAGCATTTTAAGAATTGCGTGCGATTAACTTACATGATTGTGACGGAACCTCTGGGTCCGAGCATACTCAACGAGCCTCAGAGTTTCGAAGCCAATGGACAATGTGAACTTTCATATGTTATCCATCAGCCTATTGTCCAACACAAGGTCATTTCACGCTTAGATCGGCTCTGTTGTTTACCGTTTATTATCCGCTCTGACACGTCCATAAAAAAGGCACCATTGGTTTAATACCCTGCACAACAGCTGCGTCGACAATGGCTCAAACTTACACGTTGAGAAATCATCAATCCAGTTGAATCATCAATAACCTGTGATGTGGCAGCATCCAGATCCAGCGATATCTGTGAAGTGAGCTGTAATAAAATGGTGGCGTAAATTTCAAGCCATCACATTTAGCAACCAATACAGGGCAAAAGAAAAAAGGTTGAATCCACAGTAGTCGTTTACCGCTGGATGTAATGCTAACATATGTAGTTAACGCTGATAAGTTAGGCTGATAGTACGACAACTTCTATCAGGTAGTTATGTTGTTTTCACAAAATGCACATTGGATGGTTTCATACAATTTTATTATCTAAGTCTCGGTAATTATACTGAACTACCGACCGGTTTCAAAACTACACCAAAAAGCAATCCACAAGCTTGCTCTGTATGCCTTGATGATGCTTGTTGTAGCAATTATCACTGAAAATTAGATTGCAAAATCATGGCTACAACCAGTAACCAACTGCCCAACCTATTGTGATGGCATACGAGGCCATCGAATTAACTGTTTACTCTTGCAATTCTAACTTTAGGTGTACAAGAGAACATAATTAGATCTGTCGTTCTGGTCACTCGTGAGCTAATCCAAGGATTCCCTACAGGCATGTTATCAGCTTTAGCCTAACTAAAAGTAAGCAGTTATTCGTCTTCAAGTGTGAACATGCCGGCACTCTGAAAGGCGGTCTAAATCATCAGGAATAGTGAGCTTTGCATGCTTATTAGAAGGCAGTACTTTGGACTTGTATACTTGCCGGGAACGTCCCGTTTATCATCTTCTGTGTGGTGTTTCCTATCTGATTTCTAATACATTGCCAATGCGCGAGATATTCATTCCAGCTCTTGTCCGACCAGATCAACTCCAAGTCTTGCTTTATCTTGTAAGATCCTGCAGTGGAACAAGAAAACGTGCGTAAAGATAGGAAAAAAAGGAAAACAATATCGCTTTATTTTTCAGAGTATCCAAATTCTAGCACTTATAATAGAGTTCTGCGATCCTGTTTGTTCCGCGAGATTGACCCAGAGGTAAAAACCACATCAAGCGAATTTGTTGAAAATTAGTAAAACGTGTTGTCCCCTCTGTACTCGGTGTAAAGAGTAACGTTCTATGAACTTTTGTTTTTAAACAGTTGGGTTGAATGGGGATTTCACGTAACACTCGTCATCTTCCGGGCTGAAAATTTTATGAACAGGATTTATTCACTTCAGTAGTGTTCGTTCAGCACTCTAACCACTGCATCACTGACTTATGGAGGACCTGGACTGCAGCTGGTTCTGAAAACGTTTATTCCAAAATTAAACAGGTTTATCAGCTGCAGTGTTGACGCTCACGATATAGCTTCCAGCAAATTTAGCACGGAATAAAACTGCAGTGTGCAACTCAAATCCATTCCACTTTAAATCGTAACTCATTTCAGTGGGGAATACAGGATATGGTATCACATCAAGAAAGCACAACTTGAATCGCCTTATGAATGCACCACTTTTGGTGTCTTATTTCACCGCACATGAACTGCCTCACACCCAAATTCAGCAGCTTGTTCGGAGGCTCGTTATTCCGGAACTAATGTCTATCGAGCTAGATGATGGTACGGCCACCTTCTTGTCTTGGACATATCAAATTAACGAAAGCAAGTTTCACGATAAATTTTTGACAGTAACTTTTGGCCGCGAGTTGCGGTTTTCTAATAAGTCCGTTTTTATATTGAACACACTACTTCAAATTCTACGTAGTACGACAATAACCCTTCAATAAACAGATATCAAATAACATTCAGTTTTTCGCGGACAAATGTGCGTTTCCCCCCAAGTGGATGAGTAGCTCAGAGGACGGCAATGTTTTCGATTGCATATTTCTAAACAAATGTGATGCAAATATAAAAATATAAGGACAGAACACACACCCATTTCACCCAGAAGACGAGCCACAGCACTACCAATCATCGACCCGAAACCGGCAAAGTTCAAAGCCGGCGGTAAATTGTGGTGATACACCGGGGGCTGTAGTGCACCGAGTGGTACATACAGCTGATCATCCACGAGGTGGACACCAATTTTTGCATCATAAACACTGACATTATCGTTGAGCCAATCATTCTCGACTTGATCAGCAATACCTGCTAGCACGCGATTGTTCAGTGCCCGTATGTAGTCTACGGCTGACAGGAGATTCTCCATGTAAACATATGATGTCTTCAGCTATCGCCGGGTTAAAAACAAGAAATATCATCAACTGGAGTGAGAAATATAGGGGGTCAATAGCGCTAACCACTCGTCTGGAGTATACTACTGTCAGAAAGAGGATAACGATGCGCCCATTACACATACAGTACCGCCCACTTGAAGGTGGCTTTTTTCCGTATCGATTAAATGAACCTTAGTTGAGAGACAAACAAAAATATTAGTGTTGGCTTTTCGGAAAAGAACCTCTCTTGGATAAACTATCAGGTTGATGTGTTCCGTACTATCTGCTTTCGGCTGAAGTAAAAAGATTCGAGACGTTGGTTCCGCTGTAAATTTTCAGGTTAAGCCAACTTAGAACATTTTTTACGTTAAAGGGTAATTTATGCAAGCTTCATCGTGGTTGTAAGTTCAAATCGAAGGCAGTCATGTAATAGCAAACAAGGTAAATAGCAGTGGCGGAGCTTTCAAGAAAAAAGGACTTGCCCTCTAAAATTTACGTAGCAGATTCAAATGCTTCATTGTCCACCATAAGGGCCTGACGCGTGATGTTTTTTTCCAAAACTGCACCCTGATCCATCCAACCTATTTGTTTGCATTTTAGCAGCCCACAGATTCATCCCACTGATCGTCAAAGGCAGAAACTGATAAAGTGTTCTACCTATGTGTTGACGACTACTACACGGTTCACGGTTGATCCCAGTGAAGCTCAGCATTTATTGGAAAATCCGAAGAACACAAGGTGTTGCGAAAAATCCGTAAGTATAAACGCTCAATCCGATCTAAATTATCTCTTCACATTTTTTGGTAAAAGTGGAAACGTATATGTAAGCAGTTACTAAATAATACGCGAAACTTGTTGGATATGTTATCTACACCGTTCAAAGGCAATCAGGCAAAATAAGACAGGCCATTGTACACGAGTACGTCACATACCATAAGGCAGTTTGCACTTAGAATTTAAGAGCCATCTGTTCGGTGCTAAATCGGTAGATCATTTAGGCTGGAATAAGCAAATGATACGACAATATTTATTTCACCACTAACAATCAGAAAGGTTTTTCTTTGGTTAGCCATCTTTCTGCTTGTTCACATTCAACTGGGATGCGAAAAATAGCATTCCTCTTGAAGTTTCACCTATCCATGATTACTGCTTTACTTGTGCGATTAATTTATAGGCAATGGCCCCAAGAAGTGCGTTGACTGAGATCTGTTAGACGTTGTTTGTGGAAACATTTGCACCAACCATTCATCACAACCGAAAAATTCAAGATAAGTGGTAAATTCTTGTGGAACTCGGCGCCAAATCTTGTTGTTTACGTCATCCATATTTCTGCAAAGAACTTACCACGAGCTTACGTGCCAAACAATATGCGCAATCTGATTACTGTGTGCAGTGCATTAGAAACAAGGTCTATCACACACTACAACAGATCAAAGTAATACCGTGTGAAGCAAACTGCATTCATTTGCATTGGTGAGTAGAAAACCATACTCACTGATACCGTGAAGTCATTCTAAGTGGACAACTTACCACAAAACTAATATTTTTTGCCATCGGACCAAGAACGGTATCAACATGGGTTGTATGAGATGAGTATGTCACCACTATGGTCACAATTCCGAAGTTTTGGGTTTCGAATACCTTCTTGTTTATTGCTTGCTGGGAAGTTTGTTGACACCAGAGAAGTTCATATATGCAGGCCTTCAAACCTGCCCTTTTTTCGATACCTACCACGGATGACTTATCAGATTTCAAAGGGGCAACTGCTATTTCGGGGTACAAAATGGATGATTGGTAAGGCGAGGTTCGACAAAAGCGCTCACTGATTTTTACTACATAAATTTGTTTGATATTGTTTATCTGAATACAGTCTTCAGCATTCCGAATGATCAGGCCCTGGGGAATCTTCGTCATCTTAGCTAATTCAAAAATGGTGTCGCTAGGTTTCTTATGCATCTTCCTAAAGAGTAATTTATGAACTGTTTATTTCATTTCAAGCAGACAATCACATCAATCACAAAGGAAACAAGTAGCAGCTGCCACTCCCCGGAGATAAAAATCTTTCCCAGGCCAATAGAAGTAAATCTCAACCAATGACAACAAATAAATGGTTTCCAACACTGTAGCAGAGTTCCAGAGAGAGCTACTGAGGCGTAGGTCCCGGGTATCAGGTGTCGAGCAGTGAGTAAAACGAGCGTAATATATTGTGTCACAGTGCAGCCGTACATCAGCGTTAACAAGGCCGCGTCTGTTGATTATGATAGTCATTGCTGTATATCTGTGTAACTTACTTACTTACTTACTTACTTTTCTGTAAGCATAATCCAGTTTGGCTTCATTTGTCATGATGTCAGGTACGGTGTATTTGATTTCCAAATTTTACTTTTCTTAAGCATAATCCAGTTTGGCTTCATTTGTCATGATGTCAGGTACGGTGTATTTGATTTCCAAATTTTCAATCTGTTAAATACAGTGAACAGTAAAGGGCTTTGGTACGGTGAACGTAGTATATTTGGACAAGCTGATAGGCATCTACAAAAATTGCGTGAATCGAGTTTCCTACCATCTGACTTCAGTCTTATCACAGACAAATTTTGCGGTTAGGCCACGGATAGAATATCACCAGACGCAACAATAACCTGAGAGGACCGACAAACAAAGATATCGGGCAAGCCGTTATTATTCAGATTCACTTATCATCAGGTGTGCTCTAAAACCCTATAGTCTATGCAAGTGAATGCCAGTAACTTAAGTCCAAATCCAAAACATTCGATGACTTTTCCGTTTTGTGGAAGTTTTGAGTTGCGCGAAGATGTCATACGGATGCCCTCGGCAACACAAAACAACACATACTAGAGATTCAGCAGGGTTCCAGATTAATCTCTCGCAAAACCGAATTAGTTTGCAAATGAGGGTATTTTGCTAAAGTCGTTGTTTCTCACTCGTAAGATATCAGAATAATTCACCTCCAAAGAACTGTCTGGGAAGCAGGACGCAAACTTCGAGTAGACGCATGACAATGAAACCGTCGTACAGTAAAACCAACAAAAATTGCCGTCCGCTGTTCTTATAAGCAACATATCTTTGGAAGGAAACTCGAACAAAGGCCATCTAGGCAGACCCCTTTTTGTTAACCAATATTTCACAAAGTATTTCCATCTTCCCTTGTACGTATCGTTCAATCCATTGGCCAGTGCGGCCTTAAACTCGAGCTCCATCTAATGCTGGAATCTATGATTGCATATCGCAAAAATAGCACTTCTTCGCCCCGTCCTTCGAGGAAAAAACTCAAACTATTCTAAAGTTCTCTTTTGGATACATTCTTTCACAGATAATTCAACGGGAGTAACCAGCGGTAAGTTACTTGACAGAATTTTAGATTTGCCTGAAAGAGTCTCGTTCAGGATGAGGTCTTGCTACCTACTCATATATTTTAAGAGATTTAGGGAAGAACATTTTTCAACATCTTACAAAATCGAGTGCATGTTCTAGTCTTCAAAAAATGCCATCGATCAATGCAGTTGGACCTAAATACCTTAAGTTTTGGTAGCAGTCACCTGGATACGTACTCACACGTAATATCCACTTTAATCAAGCAATACACTCTATTAACTGACAGGTTTACAACCAGAGATAGATTCAGCTATTCCCACTAGAAAACAATAAGTTACCATATTTTCCTTACTTTTCAGAAGCTGCTTTCTGCTTTCATTCTTTTATGCGCTTTCGATACGGTCAAGAAGTTTAGAGTTACAAAACACTCACGCGTCTCTCGAGCTTTTTCTTTGTGTCATAATCCATCCATTTGGTTTTCTCGATTTGTTCATATGCACTGGACTTTAGGTGGGTTAGCATCGTTTTGGTCTGCAAGGAAATGGGAATGTATCACCTGTAAGTAACCGCGTCATGTGAACCACATTTGTTCAGGATTTCTACACTGGTTAAGTAGTATGCTTCCGTTCCAATTTGTTCTGTAATTTACAAAACCGGATGAGATTGATCCCGGTTTGTACCCCAGTTCAACCTTTTAACTATACTGCATTCTGATTGGGTTAGAGTTTTGAAAGGCAGAGTCGTTCCCCATTGTGAAGTAACAAACGAATCATCGGAAAAACTTTTCAACTGAAAGACAAACTTCTTTTTGTTTGAACCAGTGTGCAGATGTTCCCGTGTACTTGACTAATTAACAAAAATAATTTTTTGCAGTTGAGGCTAGCCTTAGCTACACCACCTCCACACCTTGATGCGAAAAAGCCGACATCTCAAGGATTTCGATTCTAACAAGGGACAAGGAAGCAGTGGTCCCCAGATTGAACCTTAAGGCTTGTAAATGGTACATGGATGTAGCTACACTACAAGAGCAGACTGGGGCTAATCGACTCAATCTATCTGAACAATGGTTGGTCTGTAAGCATTTATTAAAGACCGTTGCCGTGATCGCCCGTGGAATAAGAAACAATACCCCTGAATGGTCTAATAGACAAGGCCCCATCGCACTGATGAAGACCTAATAATTTTCATGGTTGTTTTGACAAATTAACAATCACTTCAGGTCTTGCCAACTTCATTGACTTCCTAAAAATTCCAAGAAAACTCAGGCTTTTGCCCGAAACATATCAAGCGGCTGCCGATCACCGCAGCATTTGCTTATGAGATTACAGATTAATTTACGTGAGTGCATCTGTTGACAAGACGCACAACAGCCTATAGCAAATACTCTTTCATCTTCATACAGGTCAAATAAGTGACTTTTAAATTTGACGCAGCTTCCCATGTTGCTTGAGAAACAATAAATCTGCAGGCGATTGACTCCCCAGGATACATTATTCAACTCTCGCGAGTATCGATGGAAACTTGCTGCGAAACCTAGGCCACTGCACAAGAATGAGAGAACAACAAAGCTCTTTTTCGGCGTTCTTTTTAGGAAAAGTAGAGCATAGCTACAAAAATGGAAAGTTAAAAACGGTGTACTAAATGTCGAAAAGATATCCTCACACTATTATGCGTTACAAAATCATTAACCAATGTACAGTCAATTAACTCACTGGGGAGTTAGCTGGGATTCGATATATGCCTTAAAACCGTTCGGTTTTACGAGGAGTTTTATCTCAAAGGCCTTCTTCAGGTCGATCTATTTTTTATTTGTAAACAAACTGTTTTAAATCAGCAAACGAACTCAATAAAATACTCAAACGAAGAGCGCAATATGGTGGGTTTGGCGATCTTGGAAGCTCATATCTGTGCACAAGCCATGGACAATGCAAGAATTTGAAATCGGAAACATTGTTCACGCCTCGTAGAAAGCAACTCAGTTGCAGATATCTGACCAAATCACGCATAAATGCGATTTAACAATACTGATACCTCATTCATGTGGTTCTTATCGTGCGACCTGTTACTGATTGACTCGAAGCAAAGTTTTTTAACAGAAGGCATATATGACTCGCAATTTTTCATTTCGGAAACCAGTATTTTGCTTTATATGACGATCGGAGGGGAAGAAAAAAACTATTGTGCATTTCCACCGAATACTTAGCCAATATGTCGACAGCATCGCAAACTTTCTGGAAGTCATTTCAAGTAAAACAACTTGCTCTTCTAAGCCTGCTTTAGCAGATGGATTAAGTGTTGATCGTGGTATTTCAAGCAAAACTAAAGGTTGATATTTCACCACATTATCAAAGTCTGAAGATAAATCTAGCTAAGACGATATACCAAGTGTTTATCTATCGGACGGAAAATCACTGAGTTACCGCGCGTGAGAAAAACTATAGTCATGATTTGTATACTATTTCTTATTTAAAAATGACTTTTTGGACAAGGGGAAATCGACAAATCCAAAAGAACACAATTTTTTTCACAACATAGTTCTTCATTCCAATAGACTTTGAATGCGTTTATCGCGTTTCTGTGATTTCCTGCAAGAAGCTAGGGGATGTAGCAGCCTCTGGCAAAAAGTACGTTTTTCTGTTTGTATTCTCCAGCAGTGATTTTAAGGCGCGGCTGAATGGCATCCCATATTCTTTCATAGCACCTTATCTCGAGTGTTATTCATGTATTACTTGCAGACAAGATGTCATCAGTAGGTTCACTTACATGGTTAACCGCATCACCATGTAGGTGATTTTCCACAAAAATGGCACCTAAAACGGTGCCGAACAATTCGTGGGTGAAAATGAGGCAGTCAGTTTGCAAATCCGTGTCCAGGTTGGTGTAGTGCCACTGTTGAATTGCAGCCATTTCGTAGGATAAGTGCCACGCATAAGCATCCATGGTATTCCAGAGCATATAGTTGTTCATAATTCTGAAGGAATAAAAAGCAATACTTTGTGTTCCAATGAACAACGTAAATCTGCCCTGTTTGTAAAACCAACCAACGAAATCCTGTTTGAAGCGAAATGTGTCGTTGTTACGGACAGTCGTCTATTGTGGGTAGAATGAATCGCTATAATGATAAATTTTGTGGAGTACACAATAAAAAATACAAGAAAATTCGATATGGTTAAGGTCGCTCTGAGACTCACGTTTTCCGGCAGTCAAACCGCTGAGAAGTATTGCTTCATTCTTAAAATCATTTTTCGCTTACCAATGTTTTGTCGAGTTTTGCCACAGTAACCGCAGTGATGGTAATTTCAGAAAGCCCTGAATCTATCTGGCCCACCTATTAAAGAAAGCGATCTAAATTGATTGCTCGAATTGTCGCGCCATCAAGCACTAGATGAAATAGAACACAAACGTCCTCAACTTAGAAGGGGGCGTAAACAGAAATCTGTTACGTTCTAAAATTTGAAGGCAGCACGAATGCCCTTGATTTCCAGCCATCATAATCGTAACGTATTTCGTTATTTGTTTATAAAACAGGGCCTCTATCGGGATTAACTATATGTTCTTATTTTTCCACTCGCTAAATCAAGTTGCAGTGGATTTCATGAAAACAGATGTGGCATAAACGCTTTAGTGTATTGCATTATCCTTGTTTTAGGATGACACTCAGACTGTGAACGTTTGAAGTCCAACAAATAGTGTATAATTTTGTAAAGTAATTTTCCGATAGAGGACCTAACTTCCTGCTTCCAAAGAGCCAAAGATATGTCTTTGCATCGGGTGCCATTTTAACCCGAAGTGCATTGAGACACCCACACAGCACACCTCTTCAGGTACAAAAAACATGTTATTATCCTTTCTCCCTACCCTCGACTGGTTTGAGGTCTTGTAGATATTGAACTAATTTTGGTACACTGAAGAAGAGGGTGAATTCTACATGTTACTTAATTGCTTGTGTCTCGATACCTACATGATATGAAGTAAACAGGACACAGTCATTTTTGTGGTCGTCGAATCACTGCCGTTTTAATACATTTTACGGTAAACACGCCAGATTGCAACAGTTGAAATAGCTTCGTGTGAGTGAAAACGAGCGCTCCGTCAAATCCACAGGGCTACCGAATTTCCGAGTCCGTGTGAAAGAATTAAAGTGTCAACTGCGCCCTGACTCAAAGGAGAAATGTAAAACGAGTCACCACCATGGCAAAGTTGGACCGCGGAAATTGCAGGACACGCGGTAACATGGAAAAGATTTGGCGATATTTGGTGATTAGATGCTTGATCTAGAACAGGTGTCCAGTATCCGACCCAAGGAACCCAGAACCTCAAAAGGAAAGAACGATATGGAAAACTGTAGTTGAAATAGCGTAGTCCGCTGGACAGAACAACAAACATTGGTTTGTTGGAAGCCAGTTTCTTCGTCAACCTCGTGAGTAGTGTTTCTCAAATAAATGTAACAATGCCTCGAGCAACTCATGCCAACGGAAAAATGATGCAGGCTGAAATTTATTCGAGTCTCCTGTTACTGAAAAGTAGTGCTCACGTAAGTCTTTCACGCGAGAATACATCCGAGTTTAATCATTTTAATGAAAGTCGCCAAGTCTAATGCATACGTTTGCAGATTAAACAACGACTCAAAAAAATCTTATCTGATTCCCTTATTTATGGCATTCTCTGGCTAAATATTCTGCACGAAAGCCGCCCTATGTTTTCGTTGGTACGATACTCGAGATTCCGCAATATGCTCTCTCGAAGGGAATCACTTTTCCATTTTTCACTTCGGACGACCAGTTCTGCTGTTCTTTGGGTAGACTCAGTAGGCGAGGATCCCAAACTTCCGTTCGCCTCGTATTCTGCTCGTACCAAGATTTCTACAGAATTCTTCAAATAAACCAGTGTTCACGCCTTCTTACCTCTCAGAAGGGCAAAACTGATTCTCGTTTGCCGTTAGCTTTTCAAGTCTAGTTATTTTGGATCAGCTAACATATCATCAACCAACTGTCAGCTCTTCCATTACCATCAAAACTAGCTTAACATTAGATCTAACGAGCACTCAAAAATGGTCATTCTGCAAAAAATACCCTTTTCTGTTTAAGTTATTGAGCAGCTTTTTTTGGGTTTTTGTTCAATGAATTCATGTTTGTGTTAACACCGAATGCTTGAAATTCATGTAAGCTTTGGTGAAAGCTGTATGGCTTTTTCAAATGTTGAAAGTGACGCTATTCCATAAAGCTATGTCCCTGCTTAAATCTCTCTTACCTTTCAAATGGGGCATCGTAAGGATTTATTGTCATCCTCAAGTAAAAACATTCAAAACTAAATTTTGAATAAAGATAATTTGTTTAAAATCACAGTTATTAGTCACTGCTATGATTTTGACCACGTGAATATACAAAATTTCCAAGAGAGCTTCACACTGGTGACATTCACCGCAATTTATCACGAGGTCTTCAAACACAACCTCAAGACGGATGAACCAGTACCCATGTACTCTGGAAGTTTTCCTTGAACACGAGAGCAGCTGTATCTATTTTGTCAACGCATCCCTTCGGAGGACTTTTGTGCCACGAAGCCACCGTAGCCTATAAAAATGCTTGCTAAGGCACTCCCTCCGAAACTTGCCTTAGCACCGGGAAACCCATGATATTCATGTGATGTATTCCAAACTAAGGTGGGCTAATGATGCAAAGGATCTCATCAAACACAGGCATATACCACTCGGTTTGAATAACCTTCAATTCAGTTCAGATTCTGAACTCCCGCCAAAGGTATTCGCTCACGAAAATCGTGGATTTCCGGAACTTATGTTCGGTAATGCAATCGAAGAAGAACTAAACAACTGACCAGGTACAAAAGTAAAGTGATGCATACGAGGACTTTCGGCATCGGCTCAGGGAGTTCTAGCTAAGCGCTAGTTGAACCGGCCTGCAGTGAAGCGCTGGCACAGTTGTTTTGCCTCAGTAGTGTCCAGCAAGTTTTTATATATGTTGGCACCTTTCGGCGATTATGTTTTTTAGTCTTAAAATGTACATGCTATTCTGGAACACGTTGCCTCCGAATAAGATTGCTATTTTAGCCAGATAAGCTACTTGCTTTCACAAGGTTTTCAGCCTTCGATGTACTTACAAAACCTTTGCATTTATCTACAAAATTATCCACACAAGGAAAAACTATAATTAACCCTGATAGATAGGAAAGATGTATTTCCTATTTATACTGCATGAAAAAATTCAAAAAAAAAACTGACGAGACTCAATACTAACCTATTGAATACTGGTTTTGAATAGGCTTTTTGAAGTTTCTTGATCAGTTCCGGAACTTGCTTAAGGTACTTCACGTAAGTTGAATATACAAAGTATCCATCGTCGAATGACAAGTCGACTTTGTTGAAATAGTGGGACAGCAATCCTTTCCAATCAAACACCGATTCACCTTTGTTCAACTGACCAAGAGAAATCTTCTCTGGACTTCTCGAATAGGCATTCTGTTTCATCTAGATGTGAAAACAAAGCGATACTAATGAGCAGAATAGTATACATTTTGAAGGAAGTGAACGAGATTTACATCATTCTCAAATTCACCGCTAACATTGGCAAATGATCCTTACTATTTACAAACGTGTTAGTCCTTGCGCAATATGTGGGAGAGATATTTTCCCAACAGTTCCACCAGAGCTGTCATGTCTATGAATAGCTCAACCTGAGCTCCCCGGGGTAGGTTTTTCTTCATGCATTCTAGGCTAATAAGTAACGACAGTCCTTAGGGATAAGCATCTAGTGATCTAACGTTGTTTATTGTGATGACGGTCGGCGATAAAAATGTGCAGGATTTGAAAAACTATTGAGATGATAAATATTTTACAGGTTCCCTCAGATCCCAAATTTTTTTGCGCACAAAGGCGGCTACCCGGCGAACAGGAGTGGATTCGACTCTGGTTGGGAATATTCATTACTAGCAATTCATGTAAGTAGCTTTCTCGAGTATACTCGTTTTTCCATCAGTATTGTAGCATTTGCAATCCATTTTAGCGCTTCTGTACTGAATAAACATTACATACTCTATGTTACGTCCACAAACTTTCTTTAGACTACATTGATTATGTGATCCTCTTGAAATCACACATTGTCTTGTACACCTCTGAAAAGGTTTAATTTTCCGACTCTTGACGTGTATAGCTGTCCTTAAAAAACCCGGACTCAGATATAAATGGACATATTTAGACAGTTTGCTCAAAGGATGCATATGTATATAGGTATCATGGTTCTACGGTATCAATATCTGACCTTGAACAATTCACTTGGGATTTTCTGTGACTCAGTCAAGCTACTCAGCCTGGAATTCCCACTTACAGACCATCAGCTTGGTAAAACAAGGCAAACATATGCTGCAACCGATCGTTCGGACCCAAACTTAATCTGACAAAATTTCAGCCACGGAATCCATATTCTCTACTCCTCCAGCCGGGGATTAGAAACGCTAAGGAGACAGCGCAGAGCTTACATCAGTCACACAGCGTGAATTTTTACCAAACAGATGATAGCAAAGGTCACTCATGAAGAACTGAAAGAATGAAGTTTCAGACCACGAGCCTCAAGTAATATCGACTCTGTCAAGGGACAGCGCTGACCTCAGGTTTTGCAGTTACCTGTTAGAAAAGTACTCTTGAGCCATAGGCTCCCCAACGCACTGTAACTGTCTTTCTACAATACGACCTCAAACAAAAAACTTCAGCTAAGTGGCATTACATGGGATCGCAAAGTGGCCTCGGATGGAACGAAAAACGGTGGTACATGACGGACTTGCTTTTATATTTCTGGAAACTCAGGGATAGAAGATAAGGATTATCTATCTCGAAGGTGCAAACAATATATGTATATATTTGTTTTAATGCTTGTATGTAAGCGAAGCCTTTCCATCCCTCTCTCCTCCAATTTGGAAGTCCCCGTATGGAGTATCAATTACTTCCTATTCAGTTTCTCATCGGGGTTTTGTAACCGCACGAAAAAAGTTAACGCTTAGCGTTTTTTTTGTACTAGGAACACGAATTAGGGTGTATTTGGCTACGGAATGAGGTACATCACAGAACTGTGTATATCCCAGAATCAGTGACAGTTTTTCAAATTTTGTTTTACAAAAACTGTATTTTCGGCTTCATCACAAATTTGGCAGATTTGCTGAGAGCCACAGTAGAGTTTCACGTATGGCCAAAACTTACCTTTTTGTGTTTCTCCTGTATGCACCTATAAAGTGGTGGAAACGTTCGCAGTTGCAATATTGCAAGAGCTTTTTTCAGTTTAGCACAAAATCTGATCCTTTTGGATCAAATGAGAAAGCCACCAACTTACCCGATAGATTTCCATGCCAACAAGCCGAATGTCGTTAACAGCTTGTTTGATGCGCTCATTCAACTCCGAATCGCCAAATGGGATGCCAGCCTCTAAACCCAGCTGCTGGAAAAGCTTGCTGATATACTGTTCATACTATCAAAAGAAATAAGATAGATTAAGTACTGGGTTAGGTATACAGGAAAAATTAAAGTTGGGATTTGAAAGTTATGCGCTTTTTACCAAACCGTAAATGAATGGAACGAAGACTTTTCAATCTTTTGTGTGAAGAGCATTGTACTCGCTAATTTGGAATGGTATTATCCAAACTATGTTGACAAAATACTATCTACGAATACTTTTTGTACTGTCACTAGTCTCTGACAGAAACAGAATAGTTCAATTTACAGTCATTATTACTTTGTTACCACGTATTCTGTGCTTGGAAAGCAGTAACTGCCAGCAGCAAGTATTTTCACGTTAATGCTGACTCTAAAACACAGTTTCATATTGTTGCATATTTTTGTTTTTAGCACAAAGAGGTTTGGGTGCCAGAACTTTGGAGATGTGTGGATAACCAAGAGCCCCATCCAATATCATTTTTCAAAATATTCGTTGTCAAGAACACCTATGAATCATTACGAGTATATTCCGAACCAGTAGATGTAGCCACTTGTTTGTCTGATATTTTTGTACAATTCAGTTGCATTGAACTTCTTTCATCTTCCATATGCCGACGTATTTCTCGTTTTACTCGAAAGTTTTTCTGCTACTTGGATCGCTTTTATTAAAATCGTTGTCATAAAAAGTTTGCTTATACCTAAGAGAGATAAATTATTTGACGGATGTTCATTTGTCTGAATGTCCTCCCTGCAATTCTCCAAATTCACACACGGTAGCAAATGTACACCCAAGGTTAACTCTTCCGTTAACCAGAAATTGTCCAATATTGTACGTACATGCGTGTTAGAATCGACCTTTCCCCAGGGCTATGTTAAACGGCATGTAGAAAATCCTAAAATTTAATGGTTTTATCCAACGGTTTCTTTCGGTTTATGGTTAATCTGCGCTCTAATCCCAAAATAATAGATGGCCTCTTCAGGTTTGTTTTTTTTTTCAAAAATTGATGATATCGCATCAATCCCAACGTACTAAATATCAGAGCCTTTGAAGCCGAAGGCAGCTTGTAGTGAAATAAAAACTGTCTTAGCGGAAGAGTGCACAGACTAAATGGTGTTTTGCATAATGTCGTTAATTGACGCTGTTCACATTCATCTGCGCAGGTAGTCGATGACCTTAGTGTGACATGTACGCGGAATCGCATACGAAATCAGTAGGTACGGTATCAAATCACGAACTCGAAAAACACGACTGCCGAACGAGATTCTATTGTGGCAACAGTGCTTTAATCATTCGGAGTCTGTGTACGAAATAATCGATGCAAAATCGTGAGTTTTGTGTTACTCCTGCGCTGGCCAGTTAGCAAGCTGGCCTGAACTGGTCTGAACGATCGAACAGGAATCGAAGGAATATACCGTATTCCGTGTATCCATTAAAACGGCTCACGAAGATCATTTTACACGAGGATTGTAGGTGACAATCCTTTGGTTGCTCAGGTTATCTGACGTCCGCAAACACAACTTAGCAAATAAAGTCAACCATATAAATACCATGAAAGCCACAGAATTCTACTTAAACGTAAATCTCAGCCCCTTGAGTTAATACGCTCTGCAGGAGGCTCAATGTCAAAAGATTTCAATAAATTCCCCGTCTTCTCGTCGTTCTGGAATATTGTTTGGCTAATTGACCAAGTAATGAAATATCGTCCTTGGAAGTAAACGACAACTACAAACATGTTAATCTCAGGAAACCGAATTTCGTAGATCTCACAATATCAGTCAGTAACAGGAGTTTGGATGATATTAGTTAGAAAACAGCAACAATCTAGTAAATAGTAAACCGTCCCTACTAAACTCTGAGACAATATGCTCGAAAGATTCATTCTCAAATCACCAACTCACACCAAAATGTGTGAAAATATGTGCCTTACTCCTAAGGTGAATCTCGAGTTAGGCTTTGGAAGTCTTACGTCAACCAAAACGAGGGAAGCTCACACATTCGGTTTTGATACATAGGCTACCTTCCCACGGAAGGATGCATTATGACCGGTGGGTGAAGAATACAATTTCAACCGTGGAGTTGAGGTTAAAAGCACTTACCCCCCCCCCAACACACACACACACTTAAGAGAGCGGTAATTTATGATTTGAAAGATCCCGTTCAAACACAAGCACTACAGCCACTGTATCGTAAATGCAGCACATGAAAGCCGTGTTAAGTTAGTGGTTTGCTGACAGGCCAATCCAGGTGATGGCTAGAGAGCTGATCACGTCCCTTTTTGGATATTCTACCAGCAAATCAATCCGCAACATGGATTGGAAGGAAAAATGGAAGGAAGGCAAAATGGAGGAAATACCATGTTTCCTTAAAATGTCATTCTAGAAGCTAAATGAAATCTCAATTTGTTGTCGCTCTTCAAACACAATCAGAATTAGTTTCCAAAGCAACCACTTCAAATTGAAATTGCATGTTACTTGCCGGTTCAATCTAATTTGCTTCTCAGTTCCATAAGCAGGATTGTTAGAGTTTCCACACAATCAGCACGCTACAGCTTTTCTTGGCTGGTTTCGTGCAACTTAGTCTGGATAGTTGTAAAAACAGACTACGATGAGCTTTAGCCCACAAAAAATTATCATGTTTGAAAATGAAGGAAACATCTCATATCTTAGGGTAGATAATTTTAGGGAACTTTTTTTCGTATTCCGTAGGTATTTCGGTTACATGCTGGTTTACTATACACAACAATTATAGTTCACCAAATTCAGTGTCGCACTTTTAAAGTTTGATCATTGAAGTGGAGTGAAATATGTTAAAACCTGATAAGCCAACTAGAAAATCTGCAAATTGTGCTTTTTTGCAATAACATGCTAATTTATGGTAGTGGATGGGAGGGTTGTAAACGTTTGTAGAACAACTGCGCTTCGGAAAACGCAACATCAAAACACGATACAAGCGAGAGAGCAGAGCCGTTGGACAGCACTCGAAAGCAGATAAAACATTTTTGTTCTAATTGCATGTTATTGGGTATACGCTCAACAATATCCATACCCCCGTCAGTTGCACATTAACGAGGTCCCCTGGGACGTTCGGCAACTTATAACGCCAGATGCTACTGATGAAGCATGCACGTAATATGTGGTTACTCGCAACTCCGCCTTGATCTGATTGAAGGTGAGATTTATTAAGGAATTCGTGGAATTGTTTTGTGATATTTGTTTGATTTTACTTGTTAGTCAGTGAATATTTAGGAAAGTTCAAGAGGACACGTTCACGAAGAAGACGGATATTCATTTTTGAAAACAAAATGCATATGAGGAGTTCTGCTTTCCCGTCCAGTAGTCTGTAACACTTCAGTTGATGTTTTCCAAAAGCGATTACCTAGTGAAGGTCTTCTCCATTTTACTGGCAGGGGTTGCGTCTTAATTTGTGCTTCTACAAATTTTCTACTAAACACTGACAGTGTAAGCCTCGATAAATATTGCGTGAAAATATAGGACCCTAGTAGCAATATTTTAAACTCAAACAAGGCTACGCGGTGTTTACTGATTCCGCTTGTAACTGTTACACACTATTTCTATTTGCTGAAATTTGTACCAGCAATCAGCAATGTCATGCGCTGCTGCACAATCCATTCAGTTCCAAAACTCAGCTAAATAAACATACATTACACCAAAGACACACCACATATTTTACGTTCTTAACTAACAGCCTACCTTCTGAATACGGTTTATAGGGCTTTTTAATATATTTGTGCTAATAATATAACTGGAAGTAGCACTTGTGCTCTGTTACTGTCTCTCAAGCGTAGAGAATCGGGCCAAATCTTCCTAGATTTCCAAGGGATACTGACTCAACAGTACGTTTGTAAGATAAACAAATCAAGATGCAACCTTGATTTAACTGTCAATAATCAGTCGAACTATTGATACATCATGTCGGTTAATTGACGCTTGACCCGCTGGCCTTCTGTTTCTGGGGGTGCGAACCGTTAACAGGGATGCATTGCCGTGTCCACAGTGCAAAATGCATCGGGTTACCTCCATATATTATAAGCAAGTCGAGAGTAACAAAACCTGCGAATCGGTTACATTGAGCGAGTAAATTGGATTCAAGCGCTATTAAAGTGTCCAGCTGGGTGAAACTCGTCATGAAAATCCTGTAAACAGCTCTGCCGATTGTACGAACACCCGTGAAGCGTGAACTTTGCAGCATTTTGGATTAAGGTTTTATTGGTAAACCGGAACTCACATACGAATAGGCAGCGATTTGTGACCTCGATAGTCCGCTTAAACAATGAAGAAGTTATGAGCAACAATTAGCTGGAAATTGCATTCAGACTAGAATAAATATCTTCAAAACGTCCAATAAATTTTCTTCTGTTTTCGAGCTGAACAGTAGGGTAAGATTGTTGAAAATTCGAGGGCAGCGCATTAAGTACGTCGCCTTGTGCGGGGCTCATTAGCTAGGCATGATACTCAAAACAATACCAATACGTTAATAATGGCGAGTGACTCCATCGAGACTTTAGCTTGATTACTTTGACTATGAATATGAGCTTTGAGTTGAAAATTCGCCCAAACTTCTGTTCAAGTCAAGATTCGATTTTTTCAGCTTCCGAAGACTGCGCATTCTATAGGCTCCAACCAGTGTGAAATCTCTGCTGGGATGACTGTGAATTTCGAGTAATCACTCATTTCCAAATTGCTCATCTCACAAAAACAAGAAAAGAAACAATCAAATAAATCCGCAAGCGAGTATCGCGGTAACCTGTGTGATGTACATTATGTAGGAGAATAGTAATGCGGAGATAAACATGAGGGACTCCATAGAGACACTAAGTCCAGCAATCTCATGGTGAATATAATTCACAAAAGCAAACATTCTACCAGATCACTGTTTGAGCACTCTAGGTAGTACTCACGCAAGGCTTAGTCGGCGAGATGAACCACCTCTTCGTGGTGCCGACCGGGTAGCCTGGACGTCAGTCTGGGTGAGCTAAGAGTTCAGCAACTCCAGACAGGGCCAACCACCCCGTT